GGAGCCGGGGGCCCTGGCAGATGCCCAGGCCGTGAAAAGGAGCGGTGTACCCTGTGCACTCGAGCGATTGGCAGACAGCGCTTAGTACGTGCCTCAGCATCTCCAGGCTTGGCTGGCAGTTCATAGCCCCCATATCCGTGGGTTGGCTGCCTCAGTTATGAAGCTAAAAAGTGATTTGAACCACAGCTCCAGTTTCACTAATTAGGCACTGTTGGCCCAGCTCTGCAGGGCGTGTGTGGGGGTCCTGAATTGTGTATGTGGGATAGGTTAGCTGAGTGGATCCCAGGATATTAGAGAGACAAGGTGGGTGAGGTAGCAGCTTTTAGTAGATCAACTTCTGTTCAAGCCACACAGCGGCTTTTTGTGCTCTACACAGCTTTCAGCAAAGGGGCCATGTCGACACAGCTATGTGGCTAAAAGTTGGGCAGCGCAGTGAAGTGTTTGTCAAAATACTTCCACCCCCTGAGTGACATTCACATTGTTGACAGGAGAGAGCTCCTGCCCCAACAAGGGGTTGTTCATTGACCCTTGCCCCCAGCAAAATTTTTGTCTTTCAGGGGAAAGAGGGTGTGAACACCTCTCAGGCCCTTCAGCGAAGGCAGGAGGCAAAGGAGGCAATTGCTGGGAAAGAATGGTTTGGCGTATTTGGCATGGCCCTGAGAGCTGACTGCCCCAGGCTCCATTCCTCCCACCTGAGGCCTTGTCCTTTGTAGGAGCACAGAGTCCCCTCCCCTCCCACCGCAACCAGGGGCCTGTGGAAGCTGTTTCCTCTGTTGACACTTCTGCACAATGAAAGTTTTGTAACTCAGTTGCCAGTGTGGGCTGAGGTTACAGCTACCTAACAGCCTGGATCAGGATCCAAGATCAATGCACTGGGAGTAACTTTAGTAGTTTAGTGAAGACCCCTAAATTGCCCACAGAACAACCTCCCAAATGTTTTGTGCTCAGGGCTGGCCCGAGCCATTTTGGCACCCCAGGCGGGTGGCACATGGCGTCGCCCCCAGGGTGCACAGCCCCGCTTCCGGGAGCACGGTGCATGTGCGGCCCACCCCTGGGGCACATTTGCACGCCGCATGCGCGGGCCCACCCTCGGGGCACGCAGGCGGGTCCACAGCGCATGCGCTGCCTGGCCACTGCCACTGGCGCACAGCCCAGGGCCGCCTGGGTGGGCCGCGCCTGGCTGTGCAGGACCCTGCAGCCGTGCGGGGAAGAGCACTGTAGGGGTTAACGCAGCTCCCACCCCAGGCGGCCACTGCAGCCCTTCGGGAGCTGCAGCGCACCCCTTAAAGGTGCCATCAGGCACCCCCCATAGGTTGACACCCCGGGCAGCTGCCTGGCTCGCCCATCCTTAGTCCGACCCTGTTTGTGCTCATCATCAAAAGCAAGCTTGCCAGAACAACAGAGGCAAAACTTGCTACAAATAATCAACATCCCCAAACAACACATCTTTCAAGATCTGTGGGTTCTACAAATGCCTGTCACAACATGTGATATACCTTCAGCCCCACAATAACAATGTGGGTGAAACAGATAATCCCTACGCTCTTGAATGAGCATACACCGAAAACCAATAAAACACAAAACAGCCTCCAGGATTGTCCTAGTGTCTCCAGGAATTAATCTTTAATTACAGATTATGTCATGTGATGAAACCTCAAGGAATATGTTCAAGTAAAATTGACAGTACTGCTTATGAGTGAATATTTTTCACAAAGCTGTCATTCCATATTTTACCTCTCAGTCCTCATTCTCAAAGGAAACCTGCACAACACTTTCAAAAGATGAGCCTGGAAGTTTAAATTCATTACTCTACCAGACACCAAAATCATGGACTGAACAGAGACACTGAATTTATGGGTTTTTACAACAATTTGAAACCCACTAACCCCTTCTTTTTGTCCTGTGACTGCAAAGGTATTAACAAGTGACTCCACCTTGCATGATCCCTTACAATATGTGCTAACTACTTTCGCTAAACCATCTGTTGCACTTTCAGTTTGCTGTGACCCTGCAAATTCCTTTCCCACACCTGAAGAAGAACTCTGTGTAGCTCAAAAGCTTCTCTCTTTCATCACTGGAAGCTGGTCCAATAAAAGGTATTTTATTTACCTTGTCATTGTTGGGAGGTAGGCATTTCCATTGAGCTAACCATAAGTGTACCCAGTAAGCTATGCACTTGTGCAGCCACTTAGGAGAGATTCCACTGCCACCCAGCTGGTTAGCAGAGCACCTACAGCTAGGTTTTGTATATCTATTGGTGGTGCACATTCACATATACCTCAGTGCTCATAAAAATTGTTCCACACATGGATGGGAAAAAATCTGCCAATGGATGGAAAAGGTAAGAGGGGAATATTGTTCACTATGCATGTTCTGCATGCTCAATATCTGAGCATGCAGAGTCTTCTCATTTACACCAGAAGAGTGGGGTACTCCAAGCCTAGCATGATGGTATGAGAGGGCAAGAAGATGGCATGGCAGTATTACCAAACTTAACTTCTGAAACAAGAAAACACAGGCACCTCTCTTGTTTTTCTGCTTTGTTATAAATGCAAAACTCAGTCTACATTTATGAAAGATGTCCTAAAAATGCT